GTTTACGCACATTCACATGCTAGAAAAATATCAGCAGATTTCTGATTAGTAGTACTTGAATGGAGAAAACAACTTACCTGGTTCAGACAGAAAATGGTATCCGCTTTACTGCAAACAACTGTCCTTTGAAAGGGTCCAAACTTGTGAAAAACTGAAAAATGCAGGCAGAAAGCGTACTGTCCAAGGAGCATGCTGTCACAACCCGGCAAATATCCATCCATCCATCCATCCATCCATCCATCTTCTCCCGCTTATCCGGGGTCGAGTCGCGGAGGCAGCAGCCTGAGCAGAGCCGCCCAGACTTCCTGATCCGCACACGCCTCCTCCAGCTCTTCCGGGGGGACCCCCAGGCGTTCCCAGGCCAGTCGAGAGACATAGTCTCTCCAACGTGTCCTGGGTCTTCCCCAAGGCCTCCTCCCGGTGGGACACGCCCGGAACACCTCCCCAGGGAGGCGTCCAGGAGGCATCCGAAACAGATGCCCGAGCCACCTCAGCTGGCAAAAGAGGGGAGACGACACAGGTATTGCCAGATATAAGTGTTACTTTTAAGTGCTAATTTAATATTACCAAAGTGAGATGTGAGTCAGTGATATCAGTAGTGTAGGTGAAGATGCCTGGATGTGATGTGGTGTCAGGTGTTGGCTGATGTAGAGACCAAACCAAAATGACACAAGCACAAGTTACAAGCATGACGAGAGAGAGCAGGAGATGCAGGGTTGGCCCTTTTGTAGCCTGGGAGCGCTGGGCCAAGCATGCCAAGCAGGTCGGACCGCCCACTCAGTCTCCAGCAGTCTAGGGGACCTGAGGAAGCAGAACACAACACAGACAACCAATGTGCTCAACCAACATACTAGGTGGGGACGTCACATTGCAAAGACTAAAGGCCTTAGATTGTTCTGTGAAAATAAGAAAATAGCACAAACTTCTGTGTCCTCCAACGGTCAAGCTCAGACTTGTCCTGAGTTGTGAGCCAATCAGAATAGCGTAGCAATTGTGGCCTGG